GCGGAGCCCTTTTCAAGAGAAGCCTTAAACCAAAAAACACGAAAACACTAACAACTACCCAAAGGCATTATAGTGACGTCAGCTCTCTGAGTTTGTGCTGGACCCTGAACCTATCAGATAGGGAGCTCGATGCTGCTGTTAGTGCAGAGCCGGGATTTGGGGCGTTTTTGCTAGGTGCTACCCCCGAAACCATAGTCTAGCTACAGAGGCCCCTATACTCTGAAACCCCTTTAGAACACTTACGAATCCTAATGGAATCCGTCTACAAACCTGCAAAGAAACGATGTATGCATATATATATATGTATATACAGAACTCTCTTCAAGTCGCATTCAACCTTGTAGAACTCTCTCAAAACCTTATTCTAGCTTTTGAGGCCCCTGTTTTGTCCCTATTCGAGATCTGAAGGCCCCCTTCCTCACAGCCTCAAAGCCCCAAACCCTGAACCATAATCACTGAACCCTAAACCCTAAACTGCCGCAAACAAAAACCTGAACCCTATTTGAGTTCTCAAAGCCCCTCGTTTTTGTTCGAGCCAGCCATGGCTCGTCTTGGCGATGCGTCCAAATGGCCCCTGTCGCATCTTGGCTTACGGTTGAGGGGTATGGGTTAGGGGCACTCGGCTTGACGACTGTTGAATAGGGTCTGTACTACAGGGTTTAGTAAGGGCTTCATCAAGGGTTAGAACGGTTAGAACAGTTTTGTGTGTCTTCTCCGTTGGCTTTGTGGGTCAGCAGGGCTTATGGGGTTGTTATCGGGTCTTGCAACGTTTTTCAGGGGTCGATACCGGGGCTTCAACAGAGTGGGCCTTTACGGTGTTTGGCCTAGAAGCTTTGGGGTTGGGGGTTTCAGGTTGAAAAAAGATATACGTCTTGGATGGGCTTTAAGCCTATGTGCTAAGAAACACTGAAAACCAACTTCAAGTTTGAAACGAAGACTTTGTGAATTAAGTTAGAGGGCTGAGGAGGTTTGGCATGTTGCACGCACGAGCCATAGTTTAAAGCCCTGAACCCTAAAACCTTGAAACTAAATATTAGGCCTCAGGGTTCAGAATAAAGAGTGGTTTGGGAAGATCTTCGTGATCTAGACGGAAAGGGTTGGGTTGAGGGTTTGGGGTTTTGAGCTTTCTGGGTCAAGAGATTTGGGTGTTGTGCGATCCTCCAGCCCCAATTGACCCCGAAGCCCGAAATCCCAACAAGGCCCTGAATGAGTTGTTATGCGTTTTCACAGGGTTCCTCTAATCTATTGAAGATGCTTCATTTCTATGTATGTATGTATGTGCATCTGTTTACATTCACACATATACACGCACATATTTGTTGGTAATGTCTTTCGAAAGACCGCCGGTGGTTTCACCATCATTCCTGCTGCCGAGCCCATACAGAAGCACCCTTTCGCAAACCCTCATGCCCCACAAAACCTTGGAGGACATCATGTATATCTATCAACCCCAAACCCGACCCTGCACCCTTAACCCGAAGCCGACCCCCCCACAAGACCCTTCAAGAGCACGTGAAGCTTTGCCTGCGACGCCCCTGAGTCTCAACCCTCCACGCAAACACACCAAGTCAAACGCGAAAGCCGGCAGACCCTCCACCTAGATCCTCCTGTAGAATGTCTTGACCCAGACCCCCGGGAGGATCTAGAAAGTAGATCCCCTAATTTGGGGCCCTATACTACTAAGGGTACTTTACAAGAACCCCCCATTGAGGGATCTACTTTTTGGATCCTCCCGGGGGTCTGGAGAAGGGAAAAACTCAGAGGAAACTCCTCAAAGAACCCGTGCAGGAACCCTTAAGGTTGCTACTGGCTGTTTGCTGGAAGCTGCTCTGCTTGAAGACTCCCCAAAAACTTCACAACCGTTGTTTATAGACCTATTAAGGGCTCTATATTTACCAACAATGGAACCAAGAACTATCCCACATTGATACCTAGTCTTCGGGTACCTATAAGTAAGTCTACTCATTGCCTACTTACTAAGTCCCCCGACCCTCCAAGTTGCCTTGCCCTCGCTTCCCGATCCCCGGAGGGAAGAGCTTCCCGAGCGGCCCGGCGACGCCGACGTCATGGGGAACGTGGATTTTTGGGCTAGGGGCCTACAGGGTTCGAAGGGCTGTAGCCATCAAGATTCGACTTTGAAGGGCTGTGAAAGTGGTGGGGTCCCGAGTTTAGGGTTTGGGCCTTTTCGTTCAGGGGTCAGGGTGTGGGGATTTAGGGGCGTGGAGTTGTGCTTGCGTTTAGGGTTATGAGATTCGGGGCTTCTTGACTTGGGAGTAGTGTTCAAGGTTACGTAAGGTTGTGGGTGAACCTTGCACCCTAAAATCTGACCTGTTTCCGTGTGAGGGTTTGGGGTTTGCCTAGAAGGTCGGGAATTTAGTCAGAGGATCGAGCTTTGGGCTCCAGCGCCTTGCGAGTTCACGATCTATGGGTCTTCCTAGTCGCTTCAGTTTTGGGTTCATGATTTGGGATTTAGGGTTAAGCAGCCCTTTCTTGAGCCATGGCCAGTATGAAGGACTAAGGTACATTTTTCAGGCTACCGTAGACTCTTGGAGAAAACGGACATAACCTAAGGAATTTTATGTAGGACTACCGTAGACTCCTGGAGAAACAGGACTCAGGTAAGGATGCGGATATTGATGCGCTTAAAAAAACGGTGCTTGGCTTCTCACGCCGGGAGCTACGTTACTCTGAGCCAAATGGCAGCGTGTTACGTATGGAGATATGAAGCAATACTTACGCACGGTCGGCACGTGCAAAAGCACTTGTGAGTGCCTCGAACTTCGTCAGGGTGAGGCCGATCGGCTCTGTGGCTACTGCACCCTAAATTCTACACCCCAAGTGCAAAGCCGGACATCCGGAATTCGAACCATGAGCTGGAAGGTGCAGGGTCAAGCGCATGAGATGCGACACATAACACCAGCTACAGGTCGTGAAGGGATGAAAGAAAAACAAGCTCTATGAGCTCTACTCTACTTTTAACCTGCTCGAATTGATGCGTTGGGGGTCAGAGTTCATAAGGTTGATAGAGTTTGTAGGGTTTTTGGGGCGGGTTTGCACTGCAGGGAGCCCCAAACTCCCTTTGTGAAGGAAAACTCCTGCAATCTGCAATTGAAGTACTTGTTTTAGGTTAGCACCCGCCCATGTTCCTCAACGAAGGGGTGTCTGGGCGCTTTAAACCCTGTTCGGCACCTGGACTTCGTCCCGACCCTGAATTCCTGTGGGCAGAGAGCCCGCACATGCGCAGATCGAGTGAGAAAGTCGGCGTCCTCGAGGGTCAGTTCGACGCCGCGTGCGGGCCTAGCGCGACCCATGGTAAAGCTTCAGAGTCGCAGGGTCGGGGTTTTTCGGGTGAGGAGATTTCGAGTCTTGAGGAAGACGGTGAAAACAGGTTCTTCTGCGAGTAACGCATCGAGAGCAAAGTAGGCTGGTTCCCGGGGTTGCTCAGAAGAGGGTACGAGCTCTTCTCTGTCTCTTTGCATGTTTCAATCCCTATATGTCTCGTTTGTAGATCAGATTCTTTTCAAGAAGCAAGAGAGCCAATCACAGCTAGAACACACACAACACAAACACACACGCACACACATCCAAACCCAGATGCAGCCTCTTCCTATGAACCCAAAACCCTAGACCCTTACTAGCTCGCAAGAACTTCTAGTTCGGGAAGATGGTGAAGTCAAGCTTAGGCTCAGGACCCAGTAAAATCGAACAGCCTTCAGGGCTTAGGCATTGGGCGTTTCGGGAATCGGGTCTTGGAGTTCAGGTGTTTAGCGACAAACATGGGAGTTTCCGAAAATTAGGGGTACCTTATTTTGGGGTCCTCATAATAAGGATCCTACTATTTGGGGTACTAGATTAGGGTCCCCTATTTTCGGAAACTCCCATAGTCTTAGGCTAACATGGTGGTTCTCTGGCGCTAGAACATGCTAGAATCTACTGACTCAAACTAAAGTGCCGCACAAATCATCAGCATTGGCCTTGCCGCTGTCACCGGATATCATGCTGGGCCCTGCAACCCACTACCCGAAAGCCGAACTTAGAGGCCTTGCCATGAGAATCAGACCGCTGCTTCCAAGGGGGGGTGCATCATAATGTATATGCTCATGATACATGACCATTTCTATTCCCCTAGCACTCTTTATGATAGACGCCATGATAAGGGAGCCCAAAAAGTTTGAAGTCCATTTGTAGGCTTTCTTAGTTGCTCGAGCCCCTACATCAAACCGCGTTGAAGGACGGACAGGGCCCCAGGCCTTAAGCAGGGATACCCGAAAGCCGGTCAAGATGGTTTAGGAATGGGGCCTTGTTGGGGTTTAGGGCTCATAACGTAAGAACCTGATTAAGAAACCCTGGGCCTATAACCCAAAATAATAGGATTCGTATTAAGAACCCTAATGAAGGCCCACGGTTTTTTAATCAGATTCCTACTTTAGAGTTTTTGGGGGTTTGGTGCCTAGGGTTCAAGGTTTAGGGTAGCTTCATCTTTATTCTGCTAAAGCCAGGAAGCCCTACCCGCGAACAGAACCCCGTTTGAGCGTTTAGGGTTTAGAGAGTTGTTGCGCTTAGGGCTTGGGAGTTAAGGGCCCAAGATCAAGGAGGTACACTACACCCTCAGCCCTGGCTTATGGTCTAAGGACACAAGTCCACGCAGTTGTCTGTGTTTTTCTAAACTGACCAAAAGTTTCTGAATCGAAAACCTCAACCCAGGATTCCTGGCAGCTAGCATAATCCGTACTCCGGGAGACCGGGGTTTTGCTGGATCCTTCGGAGACGTCTTGCTTTCCCTCAAGTCTTGGGGCTGCAGGGAAACGACGGGAGTCAAACGGAAAGGGAGTTTTGGACGATGATCTTGAGCGGCTGGGGAGCAGATCCTCATTCCCAAAGCCGTCTCAAAAACAGCTTCACTTAAACCCTAAACCCGAAACCTCGTAAACCCAAACCTCGTAAACCCAGCTCTTGCGCCGTATGCCAGCCTTCAGCACCCGACGCTTTTTAATTCAATGTCAGGAGGGCAGCATGTAGCTCGCCTTACTCAGTGCGCCGACGTGCTCTGCAAGAACTTGAGCGGCCATCTGTAGCTGTGGCTTCTCGTCCTGGGGGCGCTCTCTTGCCTCAGGAGTAGCCTTGTAGCCTAGCTTTCCTGCTATCTTCTCCACACTCTCTGATCTTTCGCAGGCAAAGAAAAGTTCACCTGCCAGCACCACATGCACGGCGTCTACCCGCTTGGTCGCCTCGTCCTTGCTTGCATCGGCATCCTTCTTGCTCTTCGACTTGCTCGGGCGCCCACGGTCTGGGCGGCTCCCCTGTTCTTCTAGCACTTTTAATTCCAGCTGCAGAGCCTGCACCAGCTTTTCGGGCAGTTGGCGGAAGTGGGCGCCAACGGCGAAAAGGTTGTACCGAAACAACTTGTCCTCTTCGAAGCTTGAGCTCGTTGCCTGTAGAATCCCGCGGAGCGTCCTCGCATAATCCGAGAGGTCCCTGAAGTCACCGTTCGCCACCTGAAGTAGAAGCCAGAAAGTTAGAACATAATTGTTCGCATGACCTTAAGCTAAGGAAAATGTAATTCCCGAATGATTCCTCGTAAATCATACAACGGTTGGGGGTTCACCGTAGGACAAGAAGAGCACCATTTTGGCCCGTCGGTGACTATCATAAGCACGTATGGACCGTTTAGAAGTTTAGAACTTAAAGATCTGTAAAGCACAAACAGTGCTGGAGGGGAAGCAAAGACGCCCGCTGATACGAAGGACTTATTTCTGCAGCATCAACAGGGACGAGTGCCCGTTGGCCGCGCAAGGAGCTGCCTCTGTCCTTGCAAGTTTGCTTGATTGAACAAACTCATGCTCTGCACCCACAGAGGATTTAAAATAGCACTCAGGATTAAAAGGCTGCAAGCGCATCCAGTAGGAATGTAAGTTTCTGAAGACACCGCCATGCCCAGCGAGAGGTACCAATGTTGCAGGAAATCCTCTGTTGGACGTCCGGCGTGCCAAATGGCCTTAGAGCTTCTGAAGATCTCGAGAAGCCAGTCCAACATGGGCAACGACTGCACCACCTTCTTGAGTGTCGGGGGACTTAGTAAGTAGGCAACAAGTAGACTCAAGTAGTTATCCTAAACGGAATCCTAATCGATGTTATGATACTTATAAGTCTACACAATGACTCTTGGCAGGTCTCCCGACCCTCCAAGTAGGAGCTCAAGAAAAGAGCTAAGCATGAAATCTCTGTGGAAACGTGTCTGGCCCCTACAAAGGGAACAGGTCTCAAGAGCTCATGCTACCGTAGCATTTTGGTCCAGAACAGCCTCCGCGCAACGCAGGGCATTGTAGAGGTGCAGCACAAATCTTATTTGACCGCGACTGTCCACAATGGAGCTACCGATGCCGATGGCAACAGCTACCAGCGCGACGAGCTGCTGCTGTCCTGCCACCCAAGGGTTCAAAAGCAAAGCGTAATCACGCTGCAAGCATCCAATCTGTTTCAAAAGATCATCCTGCTCTCCACCATGCGGTGTAGATCGCATGCGCTTCTCGGCTTCATCCACCCAGAGCTTCCCGAGCGCGAAGTTGTGTGCTGCAGAGGGATGGTCGTAGAATTCGTGATCTCGCTCCAGCTGAGACACAAACTTTGAGAAGCAGGCGCGGCAAGTTACTCCAATGCGCATGCAACGCTGCTCCCCGTTCACCTTCACAGTGGAAATCATCAGGGCATGCATGGCAAAGGCCAGGGACAAGGAGGTGCGACCGGCAGCCATGGCCTTTTGCAGCACACTCCACAAGGGCATGAGGGAATCGAACTTCAGGTCGGGCATCCGAAGCTGCTGCGTCTTAGAGGTACGAAGCTCATAATGTGCATACCACAACAACGCAGGGATCACCATTCCAGAATAGCTCGTCAAATCCGACGTGCACGATGCCGGCCGCTTCTTCTCATCCCACTGGGGTCCAAAGTGATCCGGCTTCAGGAAGTTCCACCTGTAGCTTCAAACCCTACAACTTACTAGGAATGACCGCAGACATATCTAGGCATATATCTCTCGGAACAGTAGGTTATTGGACCGACAGCCACCTCTTCGGTGGTGTCATCAACCCAGCATTCGACAGTCGAAGCAAAAAATCAGACGTGTGCACCAAGCCGTTGGCCCCAACCAGAAAATCGTCAGCATCGGTAGCAAGCCCCGGTAGCCCCCGGATGCACAGAAAGCGTCGGAAACATTCCGCAGAGACCACATCAATCAGCTGTTCTGCCTGAGGGCTGATCGGAATTCTGGCTCCTTCTTAAGGATACTTCTGAGCACAGAGCACTCCAATATTACCAACAAGAACTTTAACTGTTCGAGTTCAATTCCGACGCGGGCTCCTCATGTCTGAGTGTGTACCACTCGGATTTACTTTCAGGGTTGGGGGACTTAGTAAATCAGGATCCCTTTCGGGGTAGCAATAAGATCTAAGTACCTACTTACTAAGTACCCCGACTCTCCAAGTAGGGTTCAGCGCTTCGTAGAACAACGCGAGCCTGAAGAGGACTGCATTCAGGCCATCGCTTGCGGATGCCCTCACCGGCCCTCTGGAGCTCAACCCCACCCGGTTCCTAGTTTATGGTTGGGATAAGATTAAGAATTGGATTTAAGTACCTATGAAAATGTAAAATGTTACCCAATTATGACCAAGGTTCTTTGACTCGAGCCATGGCCAGCATGTGCCCATGCAGTATGCGGTTGGGCCCAAGTGTATGAACTCTTGTCTCATCCGGATCACCGAAAACCAGCTGCACTGCCAGTCCCAGAGCTTTTGCAAATGTCGTGTCCAACTGGTCCTGCGCCCACTGCACGACCTGAATCTCTCTCCGAACTACTCGCCCTGAGGCTCTGTCTAGCTGTAGTCTGCGGCCAATGTATATCCATCAACGTAATCTCAGTGCTGCTGTGCTGTTGAGGTCCCCCTTTTACTTGACGAAGGCCACACACAAGAACAGAATTACCGAGACCGAAAAGGCCCAAACCTCACAAGATCTACCACATATGTACGGACGAAAAGCTGAAAGTTCTACCATTGGCTATTGAAGCCTATTGACAAACATAACGGGACCAGGTCACATCCAGCAGGTATGCTGCCACGATGACCCGCTCCAAGCTGTAAAGCTCTGGCTGAAGCAGCTCAAGGCTTACAGCCCAAGCAGAGGCCTGGATGAGGTCTAGAGTTGAGCTTAGGGTCTAGAGTCTGGGGTCCGAGTATCTACGAATCTCATGTTCAGGCAATCCTAAAAACAGATTAACGCATTTTGGGGTGTGTAGGCGCCTGGGAATTGTAAAGGCTCTGAGGAATGGAATCCCGACACAAGAGTCCTGCCACTCTACGCGTGAAGACAGGGTTTAGGGTTTAGGGGTTTGAGGTTACTTGGAGGGTCGGGGGACTTAGTAAGTAGCTAATAAGTAGACTTATAAGTACCCTAAAAGGGCTAATTGGTGTTACAGTACTTACATTACAAGTCCCAAAAAAACCAGTTACCAAGTCCCCCGACCCTCCAAGTAAAGGTTCCGTCCAAGGCTCCTACTCTTTGAGCCGTCTCTGGTTGGTGACACTCGCCTAGCATGAGGTCAACAACGATTGGTACCTTCCGAACAGTTGCTTGATCTGAGGGCCTTCGTAATTCGAAGAGGGCTTTTGGGTAGTTACTACTCTCATCAAAATAACCCAAACCCCCGGGAGGAAACAAAAGGTAGATCCCTTCATGGGGGCTCCTATAAAGTACCCTTAGTAGTAAGGGGCCCAAATTAGGGGATCTACTTTCTAGATCCTCCCGGGGGTCTGGGAAGGAACCCTAAGCAATACCATTTAGGCTTCTGTCATGTGAGCCCAGATTCGAATTTTCGGGTGTCACCTGGCTTGGTGTCGTCTGCTTGGCAACCTGCGCTAGCCTCCCAACTGCACCGAATCATTTAGCTTTAAACTCATAGTGAGAAACAAAATCCCGGAATAGCCGAACCTAGATTCCGAATCCTGAGTTCACTGAGAGTTCAGGCTCTAGTGCTAAGATGCCCAGTAAAAAGGGCTTCCTTTTTGGTATTGGGTAACTTTATAAGGAACCTAGGACTAAAAAGGGAATAAGGGTACTACTGGGCATCCTAGAGTGTGTGGGGTTTTAGGACTTCGGGGGCTGTTTGGGTTTAGTCAACTCCCACCTGGCGGACACAAACGTTAGTCTTGGCAGTGGCCGCCGGCAAGCTGAGCTGCCCCTGTGTGTACTCCTCACAGGGCACCCGAGCCCCAGGAAGATCCCACCCTCCCGGACACTTGGAGGATCAGGGGACGACGAGACTAGAAACTAGGGCGGTCAATTATGAGTGAATTGGCGGGGTGTAGCCAAGGTGATAGAGCTCTGCTTGTTGTACTTATGACTGTAGATAACTTGTTTCAAGATCCTTTACATAAGGTTTCTATAGTGCTTCGATGAGATGGTGCCATACTCTTTGGTGTCACTGCAGGCAATGCTCATGGGCTCTTGGCTGTGAGAGCCTGCTTTGTCAGGCTGTTACGATTGGTGCATGGTTTGACCTGCGGTTTTATACGGACACGGGTGGAACCTGAAGGGAACTACAGATGACATGCTGCACGGATATGCAAACATACGTAAGCATGTATGTGTTGGTAAGCATGTCAATGTTTAAAGATGTGTATATGTATATGCATATATATATATATGCATGAACAACGAAGATTGTATTTTGGTTTAGTGCCTGCTCATGTTCATATTTACACACGTTTTAACCTGTATACTTATCGCCATTTGTATGTAAATAACATGTATGTACTATGCAGAAATATTAGTGCAGAAACTAAGCTATTTCGGTATCCATAAGTTTGCAGATTTACGTGGCAGGGCTCTTTATGAACAACGAGGTTTAAACACATGTATATACACATACATGTATATGGAGACCCTATCATTATGTTTATATATACATATATGTGCAGACACAACCATATATATATATATGTAGATGTACGTATGTATGCATGTATGCATGCGTGTATGCATGGATGAATGTATGTATGTATGTATGTATGTATGTGTAAAACTATAAATGCGCGCATGTATGTATGTACATATGTATGTATGTATGTATGCATAAACGGGTTTACATACATGCATACATACATGTATGCATGCATGCATACATGTGTATGTAAGCCCTGCTTGCAACCCTACCTGCTAGGTGGTCATTCAAAGTCCGAGAAGCGCCACACCAAGCTCCGAGCGACAAAGGAAGCCAATGGGAAGTTTCACGGGTAATTAAGTTGGGGGGTGAGTAAAGTTACAATATGTTTCCAACGTTTTGGCTGACCCATGAACCAGAGAAGTCCAAAGCCATAAATAACACACTTACCCCCCAAACCAAACCACAGCTCCAAAGCTTAACCTCCAACCCCAAAAAACCCTATACGGTCTAAACATGTCTAAACCCTGAACATTAAAGCGCAAAATCTGAGCATGAAAGCCCCAAGCCCTCTAAGTTCAGGCTGGACTTGGCTGACCTCCCAGGCGGATATGACCTCAGCGTGCAATTCCTCCAAGTCCTTAGATGTTTGGGGTCTCAGAGGTCCTTTCAAGGTCTAAGGGCTCCTGTAAGGATTCTATACTTGGAGTGGGAGGGGACATAGTAAGTCGTTTATAAGTAGGGTTATAAGTAATTGGGGTAACTCCATTCAGGGTACTTCTAACTCTACTTATAACCTACTTACTAAGTCCCCTGCCCCTCCAAGTAAGGGATACTGCGTGGGACACTTGCGCTGCGCAGGGCTTGCGTAGTTTGAGGATTTAGGCTTTCGGTGTTCTCGTGTACTCGCACCTGGAGTTTTCGTCAGGAAACATGGCTTTTAACTGATTATGAACACAACTGGCGTACGCTAGCCCTGCTTACAACTACTCATGAATCTTCGAGTAGCACCCTTCAGGTTTCACACGCTCAGCGGGTTTTGTAAGACGAAAAGCCACCTTGGGCCTGGGATAGACCTGACGAAAAGCCCCAACTACTTCTGAAGAACCAGGAAGCTGAAAGAGAATGCAACCTTCTAAGCACTGGGCAGCCCGTTTCTCACTGAAACCCCCATCGCGAACTCCGGGCTACAACTTGGACAAACGATAACACTGGTACGAGTGCTCCCTGAAAAGGGTGCCAGGCTGGCAGCCACTGTAAAAGCGAAGACTACCTATAACCTACCTGTTCTTGTTTTATAGGCTCCAGACATACCCGTCTTTGTTGTGCTCAACTGAACTACGACATGTACTGCACGAGGCACACACAGCCTTTAGAAGAGATGAGCCAAACAGCTAGTCAAAATGTGTCGATGACGGCACCCGAGAGTCCAGCAAAAAACTTGCTGCTTGGAAGGATATCGTTTCTCCTCGGATCTCCGCCAGGTCGTCTTCGCTCACGATGTCCAGATCATCCACCGGCACGCTCAGAACTTCACCATGACAGAAGACAGAACAAACGTCATCAGTAACGTCCTGCACGATACCCAGCTTGCCCATGCGCTTCTTTTTACCCACACCTTTCATGCGAACCAACAGACCCTCGAGATTCCGATGCCTCCCGTTCGCAGGAGAAGGTGGCTCTTCTTCAGACTCCGTGTCTGGAGCCAGCTCCACGAAATGATTCGGGTGGACACTTTCCTCTGCCTGTGTTGCTTCATGAGCAGAAGGCTCGCTCGTCTTGTCACGGTCCAACATAGTTTTCAATGCTTCACGAGCCTCCTTGAGAGCGGAAATGAAGTAATGGTGCCTTCTATCCTTCTCATTACGGCACTCTGCTCGACATGTGTACATCTTCTGCACCTCCGTGCGCAATCTAATGCAAGCGCTCAAATCATGGTAAATGTGGCGAGGAACGGAAATTGCCTTCAAGGCAACCTCTTTTGCCGCAAGCGCTATGTCATCAACGCACGTTGGCCATTTCGCGATCGAGCAAGCACCTCCGGGTTGCTCCCGATTCAGTTTTCCAAGTTGACATATCCTAACAATAACGACCAGTCCATTACTACAGTAACGACCCAATGCCAGTCTCATGTCGAACAAACACCTTAAACCCTGAACCCTAAACCCTAAACCCCTAAACCCTAAACCCCTAAACCCTAAACCCCTGAACTCTAAAATCACCGCCTTTCGTCTGCGATGCCAGCCAGTTGAGGACAGATTTGGTTGCAGATTTGTATTGTTGACAGCGCCCAGCGATTTCCATGGCGGTTTAGGGTTTATGGTTTAGGGCACCTTCGTCATAGCGCCATGCTCTGCCCAGATACTCGCTGGCAGCTGAATTGGAATCATGCGTGCCTGATTAGGGGCCCTTAGAATGGGTATCCTCTCATGGAGGGAGCAATGGCAAAACAAGAGCCACTGCAGCAATTGTGGCTGCACTAGCAATCATTGCGCCCTTGTACTAAGCACAGCCGTAGCAATACTTACCCCGGAACCCTTTCGGGAGGTCAATTGGGCGTGAGCGGAGAAGGGTAGCATCCTCGGTGCAAACTTGCAAATTCTCAGGGTCAGACATTGCTAAAGCCTAAAGCTTGAGGATGTGGGGCTTTGCGGTTGGGGCGCGAGCTCTGCGAAGAAAACATGCAACAACTGCAGGAACCGTTGATCAAGGCCATGCGCGAGGGCGAGTGCTGCAATTTTCGGATCTAGCTTTGACCCTCCTCCGATGTTAGTTGTGCGGTCCCCTAAACCCTAAACCCTAAACCCTAAACCCCTAAACCCTAAACCCTAAACCCTAAACCCTAAACCCTAAACCCTAAACCCTAAACCCTAAACCCTAAACCCTAAACCCTAAACCCTAAACCTTGTGCGTTTCTACGACTAGGCCAAACCTGCCACACAGCCTCCTCTGGCCATAGACAAAGCCCATCCAAACCGATGAAATTGCCAGGCCAAAAGTCATAGACCCTAAACAGGTTTAGGGTTTAGGGTTTAGGGTTTAGGGTTTAGGGTTTAGGGTTTAGGGTTTAGGGTTTAGGGTTTAGGGTTTAGGGTTTAGGGTTCCTAAATCAAAGGGGAAAAGGAGGGACCCTTAAAGGGGACCCTTAGCCTATAATGGGCTATATAATGGGTATATAATAGCTATATTAAGGGTATATTACCTAGGGGTCCGTATTAAGGGTCCCTCCTTTTCCCCTTTGACTAAACACAAGACCACCACGCCCAGAACCACATTTGCGACCAAAGTTGCACCTCGCGGCCTAAAATTTCTGAAGCCGCCTAGACCCGAAACCCCCAACAATCTAGACCCGAAACCCCCAACAATAAAGCAAAAGCTAAAAAAAAGCAGCCTTATACCTACCGCAAACGTGGAGGATCGGGCGACTTAATAAGTAGCTGGATAGCTCAACATAAGCATAGTGCCAAACTTAGGATCCTACGTGCATGCATGCATACATACACACAGAGCTAAGCTACTTACATACCTATACACACAAAGATACATATCTTTACATTGTTGCTATGTAAATACATATACATATACATACCTACATATATATATATATATACATACGTACATACACACACACATACATACATACATACATACATACATACATACATACATACGTATACACGTATGTGTGCTTATACATATATACACACATTGAAGCAATAGCATACCGAAAACCCAAATCTCAAACCCCAGGGGCTGCCTCCATTCCTGCCCTGGACCAGGCTGACCCAGCACCTCTGCAAATGTGGGGCTTCAGGAAGCTCAGAGACTCCAATATCCCTTAATTAAGGAATATTCCTGAAATCATATTAGGGATCCTACTATAATTTAAGCATGGAGTCTTTGGGAGCTTTAGGGTTTGGGGTTAGCTGCGGAATGGCTCATCGTACAGTGGCGATGAGCTGCGAAAGCCTGTCAATAGAAGGCGTTGTCTTCTTTCTCTCTCCCCCCACGCGTGCAAGGCGGCCAGACCCCCAAAACCTATATCTTGGGTTTTAGGGTAAGGGACCAGTGCTGGTCTCGGAAGAACAGCTCCCTTGGTTGAGTGTTTACAGCTGAAGGTTTTGGGTGTTTACAGCTGAGGGTTTTGGGTGCGGGCTGTCCCGGTTTAGTGTTTATAGGGATTAGGCTGTAGACGTTACATGAGGGTTTTACGGTTCAGGGTTTAGGGTTAGGGTGTTTAGGGTGTACGGCTTACGGTTTAGGGTTTTGAAGTGATAGTTGTAGAAAGGTTTCATCCAACCTGAAGATCCAGAAAGCTTGTGGCACATTCATACCTGGTATACACTATTTGCCACTCGGATTTCAGGCACATGCCCTTGCTACCCTAAACCCTAAACCCGAAACTGGGGAACTAAAGGTTAGCCGTTTTTGGGTATATAGGGGTGTTATAGGGACTATACTACCCAACAAAGGCTAAAGTTCACCTACTTTAGGGTCAGGGGTTCGGTCTGACATACTCGTGAATTTCAGAATTCAAGCCTTGCGCCTGCATAGAGAATCCGAGTTGGCTACATAACTAGTTTCCCAGCACCTCGATCAAACTCGGAGATGGCAGCTTCAACTTTGGCCAAACCCTAAACCCTGCAGCACCCAGGGCTGGGTTGTCTAAAGAACTGACTCTTCAAAAGAACGGCCCAGGTCGGCGCAGGAGCTCGGAACGTCCATGGTAACCGTGGGTCTAGCAGGATGAAGTTCATCAAGCTATTCCGAACAGCGGTGTCTCCACCGACCCCATGGCCATGCGCGTAGGACCAAACAGTCCCGGGAGCTTCCGCCGCGGACGAGGAGCTGCCGGTAGACATGGAGGGGCCCGAAACAAGAAGAGAGGCCGAAGTCGGTGTGCTGGAGGTCGGCGAGGTCATGTTACTCGTCCCGCCGCCTGGTCCCCAAATGAGCTTCACACTGTTGAAGGGCACGCCGGGCACCATCTTCGTCACGATGGCGGCGAGAGCCCGAGCCCCATTGGGTGCCTGATCAAGTCAGATCATGAAGTCCAGCCAGCTATTTACTCTCTGTAGGGGATTTGTCGGGGCTTACAGGGTTGTCATAACGGGGCTTACAAGGGTGTTGTAACGCTAACCCTGAACCCTAGCCTCTAAACTGCCAAATCTTCATGCCTAAACCCAAAAACATACTACCAAACTCCTGACCTCCTGGAGCCTGCACACTAGGTCCTAAAACCTTACATCCCCGATGCCAAACGGTTGTGTCAACACGAAAGACTGCGAAACCCAAAACCTATAACTCCTTAGGTCCCAAAGCTCTAATTATGCCACAAGATGGGTTTAGGGTTTAGGGTTTAGGGTTTAGGGTTTAAGTCCCATCAAGCTTGCAGATGTAAGACTACTTCCTTATTAAAGCTTATGACCAGACTGCACTCTTGTCGAACCCGAAAACACCCGTAAAGTGGTAAAGCCTACTTGGAGGGTCGGGGGACTTAGTAAGTAGGGTTATAAGTAGGTTATAATTAGGATTTCCCCACTTAGGGGACTTATAATCCCTATTATAACTTACTTACTAAGTCCCATGATCCTCTAAGTACTCAGTGACCTCCAGGAACTTATCAAATCCCTATGAACCCCTCAAGAACTCCAAGACAACGCCGAAGCTTTCTTGGCTCCGGGCCCAACCATCAACCGAAGAAATGGACCAACGCCTCTTCTCCTTTACAGGATGAAGAGCTTCCCAAACCCGGAAAAGGTCTTCAAACCAGAACGCCTTAGGGGCTGAGCCCGAAAAGGCTATTTTCAATTATGGTAGGATTATGCAAATCCCAAAAGGTTAGAAGTTACCTACTCAATTACTAAGACCCCCAAAAAAGAATCCTGTTCAACAACATACTGAGAACGATTCTTGTCTGGATGCTTGGAGCAACTGGTGAGTCCGGGTTAGGGTTTAGGTTTGGGGTTTCGGGTTTAGGCTTCGTTGTAGGGTGCGGGGTTGCAGATTCCACGATGCCAGTTGGGTAGTTCCCAACCCACCGCTGCACTCCTCCCCTCGTGGTCCGTACTGGCACTTTGATATCAGGAATCCATACTGTAGAGGTTCTGGACAAGGTTTTGTGGAAAAGTTGAGGTTTACGCAGGGTTCTGCACACTAAACCGCCACCAACTTCGACTGTTCCCGATTCGGGCAAGTTGCCCTTGAAGACTACTCACCTACGCAATACGAATCTCGCTAGAGGCTTTAAACCCGAAACCCTCAACCAGTACGTTCCAATTTTGACGGCAAGCTCCGAACTGGAAACGATCCCGCAACAGACTCTGAATTAACACGCGAACAGGTCATCCATCAAGAAATCAGCCGGCTCAAGATTTGGGATTTAAGGCTTCAGGCTGAAGCTTGCCCGAATGTCTTTGACTCTTTCGAGACTCATCCAAAGCAACAGTCTTGACGGTCCCAAGCTCTGCAAAAACCTAAAGTGGCACTTCTAGAATGCTAAATGGTGGCCTGGTAACCCTTTGAGGAACCTCTTAGAAAACGTCTAAGGTATCCTTGTAACCTTTGATCCTTCCAGTGTAGTATAGTCTTTGCCATAAGTACCTATAGATGAGCCACTTGAAGGCCAAAGCGGTATTGGCACATGGACCCTTAGGGGAGAGTTTCAAGATTAAGGGGTGGTGGGCTATCGGGTTGAAAGCTCGAAGATTTGGCTAGTAGGGAATGGAAGAGTGGTAGTAATTAATTGTAGTTATAATTGTACCCCATTCCTCCGTTCCCTACTAACCAAAGGTAAGACTAGCCAACATGCTTTCCCCACCTCTTGCTGGTCCGCAATGACCTAAGGCGATGCAGGGAGTCGGCTTCCGGATTAAGAGTGTTTGGTTCAGGGTTCAGAGTTCACCCTACAGGGAACTCCAGAAAGTTGGAATATGGCTTCATGGTAGGATGCCCTATAATTTACCATAGAAGGGTTAGGATAATCATATTCCAACTTTCTGGCTTTTACCTTAAGGGTCCAAAGGAGCCAACAATAACGTGCTTGGGCTTAGGATAGTAGTTATGTCGGTAATTTGGGAGAGTATCTGATTATTAAATTATTAGGTACATGGACCCCTATGGTTACCTGTAGTCCCAAGCGCTGCCACGCAGTAGGTCATGACCTCGTCACAATAAATGGAGCGAAAACCTCCAAAGCAGGAAGCTTCTGGAGCCAAGGTAGGGCTTGTGGTTTGCGAGTCGCGGCTGGAAAAAAAATGAATGCCCTGTGGATGGGCCTGCCCTTGAAGCCTCGTTGCGGCTTC